ATAGCGAGAGGGGGGAACGAGAAGTACCAGTGAGCAAGAGGAGACTGGAATTTGGTTTTGACTCTCACATTACACTCATTTTAATAGCCATTCACTCACACAACACGTGTACAATGGGAAGCAATCACATGCTGTAACATTGCAGGATCAAAGGCATAAGTGTTTTAGGGGAGGATGTAGCAGTTCAGTTTCAATTGCACCCACTCCACGCTTCATCTGTAGCCATTTCACATGTCATCTGCAGCCGCTTAACTTAACTTATGAGCCAATATAGAGGCAAAGCACAGGACATCCAACCAAAAAATGAGATGCATAAGTGGACCACGCTGAAATAAAAGAAGGAAATATGTTTGAATCCGGTCACCGTTCTTGATGAATTATCGTGAAGCATGGTGCCATGCTCGATGTCCGTCACATGACAGACGAAAGCTCAGCAAAGATTCATCAAGGTCGCAGGGCTATGCGTCGGGGACACCTATTCGCACAATCACAGCACCAAGGCAACCCACACACAGCCTCCGGTTAAACCAACTTACGAATCTATTCCACTCGCCTATTCAAACCAAGTGAAAGGTACTCCAAAATGAATGTTTTATGCGAACATATGTAAACATAAATATAAGTTATTATTAATTCCGAAATTTTGCTCCCTTCACCGATCTTTCGTTCCGCCCTATTCTCACCGTAACAAGTCATTCTAATTTACGATTTAGATGATGCTGTAGCCCATTATTCATCTTATTTCTCCATTTCAGAGTATTCTCTATCTATTATTCTACCAGGTCGGTGACATGTTTAGATCTTATGCTAATAGTTCTCGTTATTATTGTAGTAGTATTGTGCTACTAAGCTTTGGCATTTTTTTCTATTTTAAGCTTACACATGCAATATACTTCATTATTTGTAGCTTCAGCTTACGAGAGAGTTCCAGGAAAGTAAGCATACCAAACTTTGAACATGTCTCTCCAACTCCTCTCCAATAATCGCTATCTCACCATCAGCACAGAACAGACTTCGACTCAAATCCATTTGATACTAGTTGAAAAAAAGCACCCGAGCCAAATTGCCCAATTATATTATCAAGGTTTCCATATCTGTCAACCTTAGTCGTAGAAACATACTTGGACATTCATTTGGACAAGAGACATTATTTGATTTTACCCCAAAAGCTAGATACAAAAGTGATTGAACAAAACCATGAAGTGCCAGACAATTTAAACAGACTCTTGACTTCATGCCAAGGACCATTCAGCATTGGCATATCAGTCTTTAGAATAAAGTTAAGATTAAACAGACTTAGTAACTACTGGGACCTAAACAGAATCAATTTACCTATCAGAGAGCAGTCTGGCAGACTTCGATGGAATGGATTTTGATAGTATCTCTTGATAAGACTTTAAATAAATCTAATTATATTTAGGAATTGTAGCTGGAGCTTGTTAAGTCAAATAAACAACGCCCTTGTCAAAAACTCCTCGATCTTTCTTTTAAAGTAAAGAGCGTAGTTAAAGCATGACACCAAAATGGTAAGTCATAATAACCAAGTCTTCTGATTCGACAAATCCAAGACTATCCCTTGATGAAGGTCCTAAGCAAAAAATAAAATGAGAAATGTTATCTGATTAAGCTTCTATCTGTCAGATAATAAACGTACTTCGAAGATTTGTCATGAGTTTCAAAAAGAATAAACATCCAAGAAAATAAAATAAGAAATACATTCCATTCAGTCCTAGAATTAGGCTGTGAAAAAGCATTTTCATATCACGTATGTACAAAACATTTCTGATCTGATTAAGCTTAATTTGGAATAAAGGCACGTTGGATTTAAAGAGGTATGTACAGGTGAAACAAAGGCGCTCTGCATAAGGGTTAAGCAATATTTTTGCTAATTTAGGCATCTGTATCAGTAGCCTCATCTGTCTGGTCAGCAGAGTCTGAGCTCGAAGGGACAACATTCCGTTGCTGGACGGACTGTTCTAAAGATTTGGAAGGAGGCTTATCACGGCCAGATACACTAGCGGACACAAGAGGGTCCGCCTCACAAGGCCCACTTTGATGGAGGCGGGTAAGGCGAGGAGCAGCAGCAGCTCCAGTGCTACCAACTGGAAGACTGCCCTTGGATTGTCGAGCTGGTTTGGCCTCCAGTGGTTTATTGGGAGTAAGAGGCATGTCAACCGGTAGATGGCGAGACCGATGGAACGTGGCACGATTCGATTCATGATAACGACCAGGTTCTTCTGCAGGTTTCTGAGACAATTGATCTGCTGTTTTTGAAGGGACCAGATCGCAAAAAACATTTGGCAGATTCGTCTTGTTTGATGGAGAATTATAGACAGGAGAGTGCTTCGGAGACGAAGAAGAGATAGAAGACGGAGAAGTTACAGATGAGGGTGGCGAAAGAGAGAATGGTCGGGAAGAAGAGCTTGCCGAAGTTGAGGATGCATAATTGTGCGATGAAGATGAAGAGGAAGAAGAAGCCTCACCCTCCTCAAGAGGCTCTTTGGACGTTATGAGTTTGCCTGAATGGATGGGTTTATTTATTTCTGCTTCAACCTCTAATTCTTGTGAAGATGGATGGTGTTTGGATCCATTTTTAGCAGAGAACGGAGAAGTTGGCTTGAGAAGGACTTGACTCGCGGCTGCAGTAGTATTTGACTCTTCCAGCTTGAGAGATAATGCCTCGTCCTCGGCGATCAACTCACTAAGTTGTGTTAAGCATGCGTCCGGCAGCTGACGCAGATCGAATGCGATCACCTTAGGGCCATTATTATGGAGAATTTGAGTCCCACCAAAAGACCGCGCTGGATCGTGGCAACCAATGGGCTCCTTAATGGAGATTGAAGACTCATGATTTCTGTTAAAATGAATAAGGATATGACTCATCTTCAGAGCTAAATGGGAGTGCTCTAAACGAAGAAGTCGCTCAAACAGAAGTTCAAGTTTACTGTTGGAATATGCTCCTTTTGATTTATTTTGTCTGACTGTCGTCGTTTTATCCACACTATTCTCCATATGGTGACGGTTATTTTGGCATGGCAAGTCGTCAGTCTTGGTAACTAGGCCGGACTTTGGTTTCTCCACATCCCCCTTAGTAGACTCGGCTATATGCAATGAAGAGGAATGCCGTGAATGGGAGCCAGAGTCTTTGGGAGGAGAATTGACAAGCATGGGAGGGGTTAGAGAATCAGAAGTGCCAGAAGAACACGAAGAGACACAGCTCATAGAGGCCGTCTGAGGATGCTTAAGCCTGTGTTTCGAAAATGAATCTAGTTTTGCTTGATGAGTTGGTTCAGGCCTCGCCTGTTCAGCCAAGGTCAAGTTAGGATTTGTCCTGGAAGTATATTCATTTATGGCAGAGGAGTAATTGGCTGATCCACTCGACAAAGGCAGGGTTGATTTATTCTCAGTCAACTTAGAATGTGATGGAAGGCAAGAAGGGAAATGAGACCGTTTTAGTGATCTTTTGGAGGAAAGAGATGACAGGAGATCTGCACCAGAGGCTGATTTTGAAGCATAATCCAGTGAGGAAGAAGAATGCGAAGATGTTGACCGAGAGCGAAGAAGTGAGGAAGAAGCACCAGATGGAGATTCGATCAAGCCAAGATCTGTCTCAGCCACACGCTTCTTTCCTAAGTTTCCACGGTGTTTGTGCGTGCGAGGCTTCTTCCGAATGATGTGATCAAAAGGTTTAATATCGCAGTCTCTGCGCTCTATAAGGGATGAATGATAAAAAAGAAAGAAAAAGTATTTCATTAAGTTCGGAAACTAATAA